AGAACGGCTACCAGTAGATCGATCCTCCCTCCAAGCGCCCCCTCCTCAGCCCCAGCCGGTTTGCCAGCCAACTAACGCCCACAGGCTCATGCACTGCCGCAGAGTCTTTGCAGCTCGGAGCCCGGCCTCACGGCTGCTACACAATTGTGCGAGGACCCCAAGGAGGACTGCCCGGCGGAACGCCTGAAGGACCCCGCTTGGGGCTCGTAGGTTAACTAGCGCGGTGCCTGGCGGCCGGGCGTGACGGTAGGAGGACCAGATGAATCCTGACTCTGTCTCAGGTTGGACCCGGGCTTCGAATAGCCCGGGGTCTGGGTTGGGCTTGGAGCCCTTGCCCGAGAGGCGGGGATCGCGCGTCTGAAGGTCTAGGGAAGGGGTCGCGGGCTGGTCAGGAGCTGAGGCAGTGCGCCTGAGCGTCTGGAGAGGCCCGACCTCAGGTGTGGGGGCGGAGGCGGACTTGAGGAGGCTACTGGTCCGGGTCGCGGGTTGGGGTACAGCCACCTTGGCCGCTGCCTCGGATGGCTAGACGCCTCAGATGTTGAGGACAAATGCCCAGCCAGCTTCTAAAATTTGTAACTCTCTCATGGAGTGATAGAAACCCTGGTGGCGTAGTGGTTAAGAGCTACAGCTGCTAACCAAACGGTCGGCAGTTCGAATCCACCAGCTACTGGTTGGAAACTCTATGGGGCATTTCTACTCTGTCCTATAGCGTCGCTGAGTCGGAATCGACTCGACGTCGACAGATTCGGTTTTTTTCGGTTCATGGAGTGACGCTTTAAGTTGAGTAAGTTTCTCGACTTTTAAACGTTTGTTGTAAACCAAGAGCGAAGACAGCCATAACTCAGCTGGCGTTAGGAAAGGAACTTTGTGCTCTCTCTACAGGCAGCGTACCCTCCCTGGAGATCCCCTAGCAGCCTGGTTTGGAATGGATGGATCAGGATCATTCACCGATTCATTCACCAAATACTTATTGAGAGGCAGCTGTGTGCTAGGCACTCTGCATAGGTACTGAGGATATGGTGGTGAGCAAAACAGACCCTTCTTTCGTGGAGCTGACCTTCTAATGTTGGAGACATATAGAAATCAAATCACCACGTATAAAATTTCAAACTGAAGAATATGTGCAAGGAGCAGTGAGAAGGTATAACAGGGGAAGTGAGCTAAGAGCTACTGGGTCAGATGAAGGTATCCAGGGGAAGCACATTCTGGACTGCGAAAACCCCCACACAAAGGCTGGCAGGCCAGAAAGTCTTTTGGGAATGAAAGGCCCATGTGACTGAAGCAAAAGAAAGCTAAGGAGCATAGGGTTCCAGATGAGACTGGAGAGGTACACAGGGATCAGATCCCACAAAGCCTGGTAGGCCATGATAAGGATTTGGGTTTTTATCCGGAGAGTGAAGGACACTTTAAAGGGTTAAGCAAATATATGATTAGATATGCATTTTTCATTCACTCTGGCTGCTGTGTGGAGAACACATCATAGAGAGTGGCAAGAGTAAAAACTGAGAGACCAGTGAGGAGGCTGTTGCGGAGTCCAGGGAGGGACGATGGTGTCTTGGACTGGGGTAGTGGCAATTGAGAGAGAGAGAACTGTATGGATTTGAGATATAATTGGGAGGGAAAATTGCCAGGACTGGCAATAGCATGAGTATGGAGGGTGAGGAAAGGGAGGCATCAAGGATGGCCCCCTAGATGTCTGGCAAAGATTATACTTGCTGTTGGGTTATTCACCACCTGGGATATTAGGGAGGGTGGCTTGGCTGATCTTGTACTGCTTAAACTGAGCTTGGCTTTGGGTTTGGAGTGGATCATCAAGCTAAAAGCTATAGCAAGGACATGAGTAGAAGAGACCTTGGCATAGCTTCCTTATTTGGACCAGGCCCTAGCATCACCTTCAGTGTGATTGCTAGGCTACCTTCAGGCTAAGAAAAATGAGAGTGTTGTCCAGACTGTCCTTGCATGTGTTCATGGAAACCTCTATTTGTTGGAAGATTTAGGGGTTCTATCAGATAGTCTTTTGAGACCTTGTCTTTACTCCAGCAAAGGTGATCAATTTCTCACATGTACATTGAACTTTGCAGTTGGAAGAGATACCAAAGTCTTTTAGTCCAATTTATAAAACACTTTTTATGTTCATTATATCATTTCCACAATTATTTATTGAGCTTTTACACCATGCTAGACACTAGGAATACAGAGAGGAGTAGAAGACTATGTAAGTTAATTTAGTCAACAAAACTGATTGAGCACCTTTGTACCAGGCACTGTTCTAGCTAGTTCAGGTACAAACTCACTTTGAAGTTGTGTGTCTATAAGCCTTGCTGTTGTAGACAGCTGAGTGTATTAAAGGGTTTGACATAGGCAGAGGCGATCCTGACCAATCTATGATAAAAGATGCTGCATATCTAGCTGACTTTTTGGTATCCCAGCAACATCCCAATTCTTGTCCATCAGTCTTCCAGTTCTAGAATTGATGGGGAGGATAGAGGGCTTTAAGAGGGTAATCAGTTATTGTACCCTTGTGACCAGCCAGTTGGGGACTATAAATTGTAAATCCTCCATAAAACACAAAAGAAAGTTAGGAAGGGAAAGGTGTATTGGTGGAAAGGGTAGTATTTAAACTTGAGTTTCTCCCTCATAGGCTTGCAGTCTCACAGACCAGATTATGTACTCCACAGGGCAACTTGAATGCCCCCTCCACACCCCTTCCCCTAAATCCCATGAGCTCAACTGGACGATTAAATAAAATAATGTATACAACCTTGCTGTGTAACTGTCAAGTGCTTTATGAGTGTCAGGATTGAAGAGACTGGTTGGCTTGCAAGATAACACAGCTCCAGAGTAGGGAGGGGTGGGAGTGCAGCTCTGGCGGGTCCCTAATCCAGCTCTCTGATGGCAGGAGTGAGATGGCCTCAATCTTACGAAGCCCTCAGGCTCTCCAGCTCACTCTTGCCCTGATCAAGCCCGATGCAGTTGCTCACCCGCTGATTCTGGAGGTAAGGATGAATCCTAAGCTTCTACTGTATGCCCTGGACACTGCTAGCGTTTCAGGTATCACTTGTAATGACTGAAAAGTCCTGTGCTAGATCCTATGGAGTCAAAGCTAGGAGCCATGGACCCTGACCCTAAGCAGACTAAAAAGCTATGGGAGAATTGGGGCAAATATAAAATATGAGAAGTGAACCAATACAATGATGAAAAGAATCAACTCTCAAGACAAAATATGTGTATTCGTTCTTTATTGCTACGTAACATATTAGCACAAATTTAGCTTAAAACAACACCCATTTATTATCTCACAGTTCTGTAGATTAGAGGTCCAGTAAACTTGGCTGGGTCCTCTCCTTAGGGTCTCACAAAGCCAAAATCAAAGGTGTCAACCAGCTGGGCTCTTATCTGGAAGTTCTGGGAAAGAATACACTTCCAGGTTATTGGAAGAAGTCAGTTCCTTGTGGTTTTAGGACTGAGGTCCCTGTTTCCTTGCTGGCTGCCACGCAGGGACTGCTCAGTTTCTAGAGGCAACCCGCATTCCTTATCACATGGCCAACTTCATCTCCAAGGCAGCAACAGCTCATCAAATCCTTATGCTTCAAGTCTCTCTGACTTCTTTGGCTCCCAGGTAGAGAAAACTCTGCTTTTAAGGGGCTCATGTGATTGATCAGGCCCACCTGGATAATCTCCCTTTTGGTTAACTCAAAGTCAACTGCTTAATAACCTTAATTACATCTGTAAAGTCCCTTTTGCCACATAATGTCACATAATCGGGGATATGATAACATGTTCACAGTCCTGGACATAAGAGTGGGAAATCTTGGGGGGGGTGTCATTTTAGGATTCTGCCTACCACAGTGTGACAAGTACTGAGTGAGTAGCACTGATAAGTAAGGCCACTCTGGTGCAGAGGAGGGCCAGAATAATCAGGAATAGTGGCTTGGAAGTGATGGGACTCAGCTGGGCCACAAAGGAAGGGTGAACTTTGGTTACTGCACAGGAGGAAGATGGGTTTCCACAGAAAGGAGATGTTGAGGCAAGACTGTGTGGGAAGAAAAAGTGTGTGTGGTGGGTTTGAGGGCCACAGGTGGGCTAGGTTGGTCACACTAGAGAATTGGAAGGGGTGGAGGGCAAGGAAAGTGTAGCCTTAAGCACTGGACTAAATGATTACGCTTCATTCTGTTAATAATAGAAACCACCCAGAATCTTCTGACCAGAGCGTGGCATGTCAGTTATAGGGTTTTTAACCTATCATGTCTGATGGTTTGGAGAGAGTGGGAGAAACTTGAGGTAGGACCACTACCAAGAGACTTTATGATGTTCTGAGTGGTGGCTCCTGTGGGCTTGAGCTCAAGGGGCTACAGGGATGGAGGGGCAGAGACAGCACTTGCTCATGATCTGGCTGTGTGACTGGAGGTCTTTACCTCATCCATCCTTCTTCTGCCCCACCAATGGGACAGACCCTCAAGTCATGGGCTCCGAGGGGTTCTCATGGTTCTTTTGGTCAGCCTGGGTCTCGTGTTCACTCAAATGGCACTTTGCCTGATTTTTATCTTTGGGATGGTTTTTATCCAGGCTGTTCATCAGCAGATTCTGAGCAACAAGTTCCTTATAGTACGAATGAGAGAACTCCTGTGGAGAAAGGAAGATTGCCAGAGGTTTTACCAAGAGCACGAAGGTAGGACCAGGAGTGTTGAATGGGAGGCTTCTCTGTCCTGAGAGGCAATCAAGGGAGATTTTACCTGAACACATACTGACAAACTGTGCAAGATTTCAGCCAGTCTTCCGAAGTCGTGGTTTATTTGCAAACTTTTTATGATCATCAGTCATTTTTTAGTATTTTCTAGAAGAGCTCTCTCTAACAGTCCCAGCCAGAAACTTAATTTCAGGTCCCGACAATGGTATCAGTAGTTAACATTTAGGGAGTGTTCACTCTTTGTCAGACATTGTCCTAATGCCCGTTATTTCATTTAATCCTCCAACAGTAAATACTATGAAGTAAAACCAAACCTGTTGCCGTTGAGTCAATCCCAACTCCTAGCAACCCTGTAGGACAGAGTAGGACTGCGCCATAGGGTTTCCAAGGAGCAGCTGGTGGATTTGAACTGCCAACCTTTTGGTTAGCAGCCGAATTCTTAACCACTGCACCAGCAGGGCTCTGACTATGAGGTAGGTATTGTTATATGCCCAGTACACAGATTAGAAAACTGAGTTAGGAAGGTTAATGACTTACCTGAAACTGCACAGGTTGTAAGTGGCTGAGCCTGGATTCAGACCGAGGTATGTCTCACTCCAAGATCTTTGTTCTTTTCTCTATTTTTATTATTCCAGATAAAGAGGTAGAAATACAAAAAGTTCTCTTGAGCATCACTGTCTTGATGAAGCTACTCTTTCTTTGCAGGGCGTTTTTTCTATCAGCGACTGGTGGAGTTCATGGCCAGGTACTTCTAATTTTAGTTGCAGAATCTTTATCCACTGTGGCATAGCTCCCCTGCCCCCCAGATAGATGAGTTGATTTCATTTGCTGCTCTGTAATGCTGTAATCAATGTCAAGTCTGAAAAACATGGGCTTGGGGCTCTGACTGAGCTGACACTGACCTGGTGGCCACCTGTCCCATGGTGGTTACTGGTCCAGTGGCTGTAGAAGAGTATTGTCGAATGCTGCCTAGCTGATCTTTGTGGCCTTTTTTGTGCATCAGCAGTGGCCCTCCATCACCTCCTATTTGAAGCAGCATTGGTACTCAGCTAGAAAGGCAGGGGAACTCTCAGGATGTACAAATGTGCCTTTATTCATGTCCTGCTTACAATGTGCCCTCCTAGACCAGACGACCAGATTCTTGACATGTGCTCCTCTTGCTCACAGCGGGCCAATCCGAGCCTACATCCTTGCCCGCAAGGATGCCATCCAGCTCTGGAGGACGCTGATGGGACCTACCAGAGTGTTTCGAGCACGCCATGTGGCCCCAGATTCAATTCGTGGGAGTTTCGGCCTCACTGATACCCGCAACACTACTCACGGCTCAGGTGAGTCTGCCTTGTCCACAGCCACAAATGAGAGAGGAAGGTTTGGGATTGGTGTGCAGACCATATGGTGGGGCCGAGAGCCAAGTTCCCCAAAGGAACCAAGTTCCCGTCTGTATGGCTGGCCTTGGTGGCCATAGGCCGGTGTGGCCTATGGGCTTTCTTTATATGCCCAGTACTGAGAGGGCAGACAAGGGAGGTAGAGGCTTAATTATGAATACCTCTTGCCTCCACCCTTCTCTTGGTGTGAGAACACCTTCTCTTTCTTACAGACTCTGTGATTTCAGCCAGTAGAGAGATTGCAGTCTTCTTTCCTGACTTCAGTGAACAACGCTGGTATGAGGAGGAGGAGCCCCAATTGCGCTGTGGCCCTGTGTGCTACAATCCAGAGGGAGGCATCCACTGTGCAGCTGGAACAGGAGGCTCAGGACCAGCCTGAAGCAGGCTTGTCGGTCTCTGAAGACTGGTGGTTTTGCCCAGCCTTTGCTCTTAGACCTCTGGTCGAAAGCATCCTACTACTAAGGAAGCCTGGGCTCATGGCACCATCTCTGCTGGCACCACCACCTCCCTGTGGGCCTAGTTCATCACTGCCACCTCCTCCAGAATCTAGCTCTTTATCTACCTCTTCTCTAGAATGTTCATGGTTGGGTCAGAAGAATGGTGGACAACTAAACCTGATCACCTGTTTGGTTCCTCTTTTTGTTGAGAACTGTCCATCCTTCTTCAAGGAGGAGCTTGCCTAATTGACTTGCCTGGGTTGTAAGTCCCCTGAAAAATTCAGTGACTGTGTATAAGTAGCATTTACCATATCTTCTCAATAAAAGTCAGTGTTCTACTGAATCCTCGAGGTTGGGAGCACTACCCTAGTACCAGCAGCTTTCTCTGTATCCTTGCTTAGAATAATGAAACCTGCTCTGAAACCAGGTTTCGGGTCGATGCTAAGTGAAGACAGTCGCGTGGGATTGTCTCAATAGGCTGACACACAAGTTGTGCAGAAGGGCACCCAGCAAAGGAACTAAATGCAGGCTGTGCATCCTGGCACAGGGCTACATCTAGGAGGAAGGAGCACCTTTTATTTGAACAAATGTGGGTCTGCCCGGGGGAGGTATGTTTTCATGATTTGCACAAAGGCAGTAAAGGTAGCCATGTCTCCCACGTAGCTGAGTTTAGCAGTTATCTTTTGCTGCGTAACTAATCACCTCAAAATTTAATGACATAAAACAATTTATTCTTATGTTTCTGTGGATTGGCTGGGTGGTTCTGCTAGTTGGGTGGTTCTGCTCGTCATACCTGGACTCCCTTGTGTGGCTGCATTCAGCTGATGGGTTCACGTGGCTCATCCTGAGCTTCTTCACAGCGTGGTTGTTTCAGGGTTCCATAAGAGCAGGCCCCAATTCACAAGCTTGTCAAGCCTCTGCTTGTGTCATATCTTATTGGCCAAAGCAATATCTCATTGCTAATATCTCATGGGTCAAAGCAAGTCACATGACCAAACCCAGAGTCCATGTGAGAAAGGAATGCACAAGGGCATGGACCCAGGAAGTGTGAATCATTGGGGACCATTACTATGACAACCTACCACACTAAGAGTTGAAGGTTACCATATATGGAGGTTGATCAACTAAAGATAGTGGGCTGAAATATTTACACTATTTTATTACCTCTTGGTTTAGATGAAATGTCTAGGATTCTTAGAGAGCCTTCCTACATCAAAATCTATAAATGTATCTGCATATGTACCCATCTCCTTCCTTCTTTTTGTAACATAGGAAGGGTCCTGCTTCCCATCCAAGCCAGTCCTTCCTCATGTGCTCTGGATCCCATCTCCTCTTTTCTCTGGGACTGTGCTCTTTTGGTTTTCAAGTCTCTACTGCACCTTTTACCTTTCTCCACTGAGTCCTTCCCCTTTAAACTCAAATATGTTTTGATGTCTTCCTTCTTTCAAAATCCTTTTAAACCCATATTTCCCTTCAGCTACCTCTTTCTCCTCATCTCTGCACAGCCAAGCCCATGTCAGTTGTCTACACTGACAGGCTCATCCCCACTTCCTCAGCAACCTGCTCCAGTCTGGCTTGCACACCTGCCATTCCAGAGAGCTATTCTTGCCAAGGTCACAGTGACCTCCATGCTGCCACATCTAGGGAGTATTTTTCAGGCTGTATCATTCCAGACTTCTCAACAGCATTCAGCACTGCTTTGTCACCCGGAAGCATGCTCTTTTCTTGACTTTCCTGACCCACATACCCTTGGTTTTCTTCTTGCTTTTCTGGCTCTTGGTCTTCTTTGTTGGCTTGTCCAAACATTTGTTTTAGTAAATTCTGTGTTCAAGGCATTCTGAAAAATACAGAGATGATTAAGACATGATTTGATCCTCAGGTTACTAACTATGAAGCTGAGTAGTCAGTCAACGAACTCTAATACATGGCAAAGATGGACAAGTACCATAACAGAGGTATAAAGTCCTGTGGAAGAACAGAGGTGAAAAAGTTTTAACCTGGCTGGATGAGGAGGGTAAAGGTGATGGACGGGGTGGGAAGGCTTTATAGAAGATATAGCATTGGCACTAAGCCTCAAGGTCATACAGGGTATTGATTTAAGGCTCTAGATCCTTTTTATTTTCAGTTCTATTTGGGTCGGTTTGATCTGTCTATAGGCCAAGACGGCTGTGATGCTTCCTGACTGATAGAGAGTTGAGATCCAGACTTTTATATTTCAGTACATGGATATTTCTCTCTTTTTGGAGGCCCTGAAACCTTGGAGTCAAAAATTGCCTTCATTTTCTATTTGGACCCCTTCAATTTTCAGTAATGGTGGATCAGAAAGTTTGGACCAACCTTCTCACAGAGAACAGAGAAAGTATAAATAACATCTATTTGAAAGCATCAGGTGGCTAACAAATCAATGAAGAATTTTGGGATCAAGATCCAAGACAAGAAGGAAACTCTGAAAAATTAGCTTAGAATTTGGGGCCACTTTTCCCCTAAGGGTATCTGCTGATTCTGGAAGAGGCAGTTGAGAGGCTGAGAAACTCAATTTTCAACAACCTCATTGGGTTATTGAGAGTTTCATGGATGCTGGCATAATACACAAGATTCCTAGGTCTGAGATTATTACTCGTGACACAGCAGGTAGCATGTTTGCATTGGTTCCATTTACCCCTCAAGTCCCATGGGGGCTACACAGAGGCAGGTGGGTACTGCACATGCAGTGGGTTTGTGTCACAGCTTAGGAACCAGAATCTTAGGAAACTTCAATTTTTATAAGGGGCTTCAAACAAACCTACCTAACCTCTGCCCTGGAGGGAGACATTATCTTTATTATACTAGTCAGCAAACAAATCTGTTCTCTGATCTGGAGGGAGGCATTATCTCTATCTTATAAGGCCATCAGCTGTACAAAAATCCTTGAAAATACAGTCTGGAACAAAAGCTGTCAATGTCTCCGCTCACAAGATGTGCAGAAATGTGAGAGCCCCGTGGAGAATTGTCTCCTAACAAAAATGTCCCCAACTTGGCCCTTGGGAGCTCCTTTGATCTGACTCTTGTGTCCTTTTGACATGTCCCCATCATTTTTTGAGCACTTCCTTACTTCCTAGCACGAGATGTTCCAGGATCATCTTGTACTTTCCCTGCTTCAGCCCTGGAATCAGCCATTTCTCCAAGGAGCTCCGGTTCCTTTAGTGAAGAAAAGTATTTAGAAACCAAGATCTGGGTGCTAGGTGTGCTCTTTGCTATTGGAGTGTCATTACTCCCAGGTCTTCACGGTGTACAGAGCTAGAGAGTACGTACATACATACATACACACACATATTTACATCTATTTCTACATATTAAAAACCATTGGTGCACACTGATACCTCAAATTCCAGGGGGTTTATTCTAGTTTTCTCCCTTTCTGTATTTATAGCTCTCTATCAGAAACCTGGTTCCCATTATCCTCAGTGTATTTATTTATTAGATCAAACCCCCTATATGTAACCAAACAATCTCCATTACTGCCTCCTTCCCATGGATGCTAACCTCACCTCAGTCAAGTTTCAACACCCCACTCCAGATTGCTGCTGCAGGTCTCTGCACTCCCTGCCCTCACCGGGCAAACAGACCCTCCTCATCCCAGGCTCTGGCACTGAATTAGTCATCTACTGGTGCTGTAACAGAAATACCACAAGTGGGTGGCTTTAACAAAGAGAAATTTATTTTCTCACAGTCTAGTAGGCTAGAAGTCTGAATTCAGGGCGCCAGCTCCAGGGGAAGGCTTTCTGTCTCTGTTGGCTCTGGAGGAAGGTCCTCCTGATGCATCATTCTTCCCTTGGTCTGGGAGTGTCTCAGCACAGGAACTTCATGTCCAAAGGACATGCTCTGCTCCCAGCACTGCTTTCTGGTGGTATGAGGTGGTATGTCTCTCTGCTCGCTTCTGTCTTTTATATCTCAAAAGAGATTGGCTTAAGACTATCTAATCTTGTAGATCTCATCAATGTAACTGCCACTAATCCATCTCATTACATCATAGTGATAGGATTTACAACACATAGGGAAATCACATCAGATGACAGAATGGTAGACAATCATACAATACTGGGAGTCATGACCTAGCCAAGTTGACAGATATTTTTGGGGGACACAATTCAATCCATGACAGACACCCTACACCTGGAGGGGTCAGGGAGGGGCTGGAGGATAGGATTCCAAAGATGAAGTGAGGCAGTTTTTAGGGGTGATGGGTATGTTTATTATCTTGATTATAGTGATGGTTTCATGGATGTATACGCATGTCAAAACTCATCAAATTTTACTCTTTGTGTGCCATTGATTGTCACTTATACTTCAATAATTCTTTAAAAAAAGAAAGTTTGTCCAAGCGTTTTATTTAAAAAATAAAAAAAATTGGACTCTCATGTAGAAGAATACATTTCCATCAAGGTTAAAAATGTTCATTTTCACCAGTGCAGTTGTAGCTTTAGAATGGAAACGGTTTTAGGCAAATTCATTATCTAAGTTTTCTTGGGCTCATATAAAGACTTAAAGAATGAATAGTCCTGCAGGCACTAAACTGATGAAAGTTTTAGTACACAAAGGACTTTTCTGTCAAGGTGTGAAGGTCTAAAATAATTGCTGAAACCCAGAGATGCCCCTTACAATATGCTTGAAATTAAAACCATGATTTTTTTTTTTAACCAAAATAAGTTCTTCTGTACCCACCCTCCCCTCAAACCTTGGACACCTGGAGTCAGAGCACACAAGGAGCCACATGGATGAGCCTTTGTCAGTTCCTAAATATGATGGATGAAAATTATAAAACACTTTGCTTTTATGCTAGTATAATATCTGGTACAGTCCATTACCTTACCGCAAAGAATACAATCACAGTCTAAAAAATGGGTAAAATATTTTTTATTGTTGCCATATAGATCAACTTTACATCAATACAGAATCAGCCTCAAATGGATGCCCTATCTATCTAAGATACAACTATTGGTCTCTACTCATCTGGAGTTAAAGAAGGAAACAAAAGACTCAAAGAAAAAACTAGTCTACAGAAGCAATAGTCTATACGAACAACAACATCCCTACCTTGAGACCAGAAGAACTGAATGGTGCCCGGCTACCACTACTAACAGTTCCAACCAGGAACTCAATAGATGGTCCTGAGCAGAATGGGAGAAAAATGTAGAACAAAACTCAAATTCCTAAAAAAAACACTATGCTTACCGGAGTCGTAGAGACTAAATGAACCCCTGAGACTATTGCCCTGAGATACTCTTTAAACTTGGAACTCAAACCACTCCCAAAGGTCACCTTTCAGCCAAATGACAGATGGGCCCATAAAATAAATACTATCACCTGTGAGTACTGTCCTCAAAATAATTATCTAGATGAAACCAGATGGTTAACGTTTACCCTAGATCAAAGATGAGACGACTGGCGGGGGAGAGGGGAGGGCAGGGAAGCTAGATTAATGGAAAAAATGACCAAAATGGAAATAACAAGAATGCCGATATATTGTGAAGAATGTAACCAATGTCACTGAACAATATGTTTAGAAATTGTTAAGTGAGGACCTAATTTCCTGTGTGAACACCAAAAACACAAT